CGGCTTTCACGGGCATCGGCGGCTCGCCTGCCCTTCTCGCCAACCGGCTGTCGTACGCCTTCGGCCTGACCGGCCCAAGCCTCACGATCGACTCGGCCACCTCCGCCTCCCTTGTGGCCGTTGACAGCGCCGTGCGATTCATCAAGATGGGCCAATGTCGCACTGCCCTTGCAGCTGGCGTCACACTGATGCTCAGCCCCTACTCGTTCATTGCCTTCTCCAAGGCTGGCATGCTGTCACCTGACGGCCACTGCAAGGTGTTTGATGCGAGGGCCAACGGCTATGCGCGCGGCGAGGGGTGCGGCGCGGTCGTCATGGGCCAGGGGCGTGAGGCAGCCACCCCACCTCTGGCGCTCGTCAGGGCGACCTGCGTCAACCACAATTCTCGCGCGGGCTCGACCATCACAGCGCCGAATATGACGGCACAGCGAGCACTCATTCGCAGGTAAGGATGTTCGCAGACACTCAAGACACATCCCTCCCTTGAATGGTGTGTGGGCCTTCTTGTAGGTGTCTGCACGACGCCAGGGTGTCTGTGGATTCGGTTGCATATGTGGAGACTCACGGGACGGGGACGCGGCTGGGCGATCCTGTCGAGGTGTCAGCTATCGCGTCGGTGTTTGAAGGCCGGCATTCCTCCAATCCTTTGATCCTCGGCGCTGTCAAGACCAACGTCGGCCATCTCGAGGGCGCGTCGGGCATCGCTGGGCTCGTCAAGGCGATCCTCGTGTTGCAGGCGGGGGTGGTGCCCCCCAACCTTCACCTGCAGGCCGTCAACCCACACCTGCCGCTGGATGAGGTCTCTGCCGTCCTGCCGACTGAGCCAGTCAAGCTCTTATCGTCGTCACATCACACGGCTCGGGACTCCGGAGGATCTGGGAAAGGCAGAAGACACGACCTGTGTGCTGGTGTCAGCTCGTTCGGCTTCGGGGGCACCAATGCGCACGTCATCTTGAGTGCACCCCGTCGACCGAGGATGCGTCTATCGTCTGCTGCTGGCAACGGCGGAGAGTCCACCCTCTTTGTGGTGTCAGGGAGCAACCTGCTGAGCCCGCAGGCCTTCCGCAGCCTATATGAGACTCGGGCTATCTTTCGACAGGCCGTGGACACTTGCGCAGCAGCCATGCAGCCGTACGTCGGAGATCTGCTGGTGCAGCACCTGACCAATGGGGACAGACCGGATACCTATCCTGACCCGGACTCACTGGTCGACGCGCTCGCTCTGTTCACGGTTGGCTACGCTTTGGCTCACGCGATGATGCCTGTGGTGACTCCAGACATGGTGGTGGGACAGGGGATCGGCGAGTTCGTCGCGGCTGTGCTTGCGGGCGTTTTCACCGTGGATCGGGCGGCAAGGCTGATTGCGGAGTCAGTCACCATTTCCGAAGGGTGCGACAAGGGACACTTGATCGAGTGCCTGGCGGCTGAGGCGGCGGTGAGAGAGTGCCTCGACACACTTGAAGGGCAATCTGGATGCTCTATTGTTGGCGTCAACGGTCCTAGGCGAGTGACCGTCGCCGGCCCACCGGAGGGTCTTGCAGGCCTGCTCTCGACCCTTCGATGTCCCCACCGAGTCATCAGTACGCGGCATCCCTTGCTGGCGCCTGCATGCGATTCATCGACATCCGCTGCCGCAGACGAGCAGCCGTTGCGGACTGAGAATGTCATAGCGCATCGTCGACTATCCAGCGCGCCGATGCTGCTCGACACCACCAGTGGACAAGTGGCTGGCCCTGATGTGCACAGAGCATGCTACTGGTCGCACTACTTCAGCCGCTACGCAAATCTCTTGCGAGCGTCGGAGACAGCAGCCGAGATGAAGTGCTCACAAGTGGTGGTGGTTGGGAGCGCGCATGACGAGATGGCGAGGGGCATGGACGAGCCTCTCCTAGAACAGCAAGACTCGTCGGCCGCCAGGTCTATCACGACCAGAACTGCTCTTTACGAGCTCATCACGAGTAACGGGGCAGATGAGCGCGAGGACAAGAATCGTCAGCGGATCCGTGCGACGTTTTACTGGACCGAGCACAGACACCCTTTTGTCGGCGTGGGCGGGAGAGCCAGAGTTGACCTCTCTGTCTGCGGAACATCTTGCCTGACGGGCGGCAGCCAAAACTCATCGTCAGAGACGTCATTCAAGCTGCGTTCTGTCTACTTGGAGCTTGCACTGGCATCTGCTGACCAGAGGCTCTCGACTGAGGAGAATCACAGGCGCAAGAGGAGAGTGTTTCGGCTCAAGGACGTTCGCTTCAGCAGCCCTCTTGCGTGTGCAGCAATTGATGTCTTTGAGTGCCAAGTCACTGACGATGGGGCTTTCAGTGTTTGCTGTAATGACGGTCTCGTGAGCAACCCTTGCACGGGGAGGGTGTGGTGTCACCAAGGAGATGCTCTTGACAGCGGAGGCAGCGATGGGCTTCTCAGCTTTCTTCGTTCCTCCTTCCGCGCGGCACACAGTGGAGATGTGCTCTATCATGCGCTTGAGGAGCAGGCAGGGCTGGCCATTTCGTCCGACAATCGAGTGATCCAGGAGGTGCATCCTGCTGAGCAGAGGGGAGCTTGGCTGGAGTCCCTCGCAAGGATCAAGGCCCCAGCCGCCATCTCGCCGGTGGAGGCAGAGCTGCACATGGCGCCGCGCTTGCTTGATGGAGTGTGGCAACACGCAATCTTCGCTGCCTTCCTCTCGATGGAAGAGCGTGACAAGGAGGACCGACGACACCGGCTTGCGGTTGTCGAGATAGGATCGATGGATGTCATATCCGGCGCGTTACTTCCAGGCCGTGAGATCTGGTCACACGTGAGGGTGCAGGGCGGTGCTGATACAGAGGCCGAAGTGTGTGTCTACTCTGGGAAGGATGGTGTCCTTGTGGTTCGAGCCCAGCTGACGCTGGCAGGCGAGGGCGACGCGACTCCCAGTCCCGGTACATCAACATGCACCTCGATTCTCGAGACGAAGCCGGTTCTATGGGAGACACACTGGGAGGAGGCAGCGATCGAGCCGTCGTCCGGACAGAGCTCCAGGAGATGGCGAGAGCTGTCGGGTGAGATGCGGCGGAAGAGCATCTCGATGACGGCCGCGGAGACGGCAATGGAGGTATTACATACCTCTCAAGCCATTCATGCAGCTACACCCCTCAGCGATGCGGGCATCGGATCGCTCGGGGCGACGGCATTCCGAGACGCCCTGGCTGAAAGGCTGGAGATCAAGCTCCCAAGCACTCTCATGTAAGCTGCCTGCGTAATGTATAAGGCCAGTTGCAGCTTGTCTATGGCCTATATGCTGCCCGTGTCTGTGTCAGGTACGACTATCCCACTCTGGACGCCATCGTCGACTACATCAGCCAGCTTGTGAGCAGCGATGGCGGTGGCCAGGGCCACCAGCCGAGCACGATGATGCCGGTCAGCGTGTCTGTCAAGGGGCG